CCCAGTTCGTGGTATTTTGTTATAGCAGCATGAGCTGAGTAGGACTGTGGGGCTACTCCTTTCCTGCTCCAGAACTGGCTGTATTTTGTGTCACCGGGTATATGCACCAGAGCAGTGTTTCTAGAGTGGAATGTGTTGCCTTCACAATGTGAAGAGGCTTCTCAAGTGCTGTGATTCCTTCTTTGTCCTAAGAGATGCAAGATGAAGCAATTTTTCTTTTACTTTGGTGGGGATGTCCTGGCATGTTCTTAAACACTGGACTCCTAAAAACTTCACTGTGGTTTTGAGGTAGTAGACCCCAGAATCTTCGTAGGGATTATCTTTTTTTTTTTTAAAGATTTTGTTTATTTATTTGAGAGAGAGAGAATGAGAGATAGCACGAGAGGGGAGAGGGTCAGAGGGAGAAGCAGACTCCCCGCTGAGCAGGGAGCCCGATGTGGGACTCGATCCTGGGACTCCAGGATCATGACCTGAGCCAAAGGCAGTCGCTTAACCAACTGAGCCACCCAGGCGCCCCGTAGGGATTATCTTTCACATTCTGGGGCATGTGTGTCTCCACATAAGCTTACTGAAGCTTATAGTATGCAAGCTACTCTTGCTTCTCCTGACTGATCAGCATGATGTCATCAATAGATAAAAGGGATGTTCTGCAGGATGTTCCAACAGTCCAGACTATTTCTGACTAGATGGGCTGAATCCATTGTAAACTGGACTTTAGTTAGGATTCTATATATTACCTGGCCCTCATAAGCTCTACTCAACAGGGGGGTGAAATGATGCTTCAGGTCTCCAGATATAAATGTCAACTCAGGTCCTGTGTCCAACAGTCCTCAAAATGCCTGGCCTGTTCTCCTCTCCTCTGTTTACAGTCACCTGAGCAAACAGTCATAAGTCCTCTTTGGAAAGACTGGGGAATTATTGTAGTATATACTTACCACCATATTGCCAGTCTTGGAGACCCGGCCACCTCTTTAACCGATGCACTTTAGGTCTGAAAACTGGACTCAGGTTGAGGAACTAGATAAGGGATCAGGATTTTTTTTTACTGGGACTTCCATCCTTAGGTTCCTGCTTATCTATTTTTGCTTTCTTTCTTTCTTTTTTTATTTTTATTTTTGCTTTCTTTCAATGACATATTTCCAGTAATACCTGTGTTTGATTGCCCATCTATTTGCCGCTATGGATGCCACGTTCTATTAACCATCTCTACAACTCTATGTCAAGCTCTCTGGGCTGTCACTCTGACCTTGCCAGTCATTAGGATAATTGTAACCCCCAGGCTTCTGGCAGTTAAGTTTAAGTGCTGCCACTGGGCCTCTATTGCTTTGGAACACTCCTTTATTTCTGTTGCTATAAAAGAGCCAAGTGGTGACAACATACCCTCTTATTAGCCCTGGCTTGCAGAAGATAGCCACGCTGAGCTCTGTAGCAATGCTGGTACTGCCCTCACCAGCACATTCCTGATGGTCTTGGTAAGTGGGTTCCTCCAGACGTTCTACGGAACATCCTCTGGTAGTTTCTGGCTCTTTTAATTGATTCTAGCATGTGCCCACTTCACTGAGCCACGCAATCCTTTCTCCTCCCCGTTGCCATAGCAATCCAGGCAGATGAACTTCACTCAGCAAAGGCTCCTCCATGTTTCTAGGAGTCACTAGGGTAGGTCCTTACCAGGAAGTTAAATTCTATCCCAAGAGAGGAGGCCCCAGTGAATAAACTGTCCCTTATCCAGTCTTGTATTTCAGCCCCTTGATTAAGCACCAACCCCAGCTTACCAGCACCTGCTGGCTAGTTCTTACGCAGCACACGCAGTGCTGGAGGTATAGTCCCTTTCTTCTCTCATCAGGACCAGCATGTCCTTGCTGGACTATGCGTAACTTAACCCTAAATAAGATCTTGGCAGTCAGGAGAGGAGGTAGGGGCAGATTCTGGCAGTGGCGAGGCCTCTGTAGTGTCCTTTCACGTGGAGGGAGTGCTCGATCTTAATAGGGAGGTGTGGGCCCCTTCTTAAGGCTCTGAGGGTTCAGAGGAGTGTGAGAGCCAAAAATTTGGGGGGCACCACTTAGATACCTCCATTCCATGTACCAGAGTCCTGGGTTTTCCCAACCAGGGCCCTGACCTTGATTATAGATCTGCCTCCTGGAACTCTGTTAAATCCCAAGTTTGGTCTTCAGCTTTTTCTGCTTTCCAGCTGCTATAGATAAGGGCCTCTTCGTGACCCATCAAAGAGGCTGTCTGGCCTTCACAGTTAATTTTCAATGTTTGGTAACTGCTCTCGGTTTTTCATTATCTCTTGGCAGGACTCAATGCAACTTAATAACAGCCAGCCAATTCCATTGTCTCTGTATTCACTGCTACCCCTCTGTCTACCCCATATGCCTGAATTGTTACACCACAGGAATATTTTCCCACTTCACCATCAGTGAAAGCAACTGGGCCACCATCTTGTCTCAGACTATCTGTAGCCCACATACTATCTGGGAAGGGTTCTTATTGTCAGCCAGGCAGTGAGTAATGCAGTTCCCAAACCCTATCTGATTGCCTGCTTTTTCAGACCACTCCTGGAACCAACTTGAGTCAATTCAGGTGGTCTGGGAAGCAGATGCTGAGGCAAAATTAGGAGTGCAAAAGGCTCAGTGGGTATTAATGCCTGTGAAAGAGAAAGGGGAAAGAAACAGGAAAGGGTACGGAAAGCTTTCACATAGGATACAAATCCGATACCCCTGAAAAGAAAGGATGTAGGAAGCAAATTGGGCAAGGAGAACCTCAAGCCATGATGCAGATCCTTCCAAGCTCCAGTCAACCAAATGGAAAGCTCCAGAACAGAGTGTCTGATAGAGGAGTCCAATAGTGGACAGAAATGGCCAAGCCCTAATCCCCATACCATGCCTAGTCCTAAACTAGGGGCTGCCTAGGGAGAGTGGGGCCTTACCTCTGACACTGTAACAGATCCCAAAAGTGATGTAGCTGGAGGCTGACAACTAACTGTGTGCTGGTAGTTGAATGGCAGATTCTTCGTCAAAGGAGGATCTGAGCCATACAATCTCCATGGCTCCCACACCAGGTATTTTGTCTCTATTCCAGTGCTATGTCCATATATCATCTTCCCTTTCTCTGTATTTGAGATATACATTAAAAAAAAAATTCACATCAGGAATCTAAGCAAATCTGGCAGTTGGTGGGACCCCGCTGAAACATCTTGCCATAACTGACTGGGAGAGAACTTAGGGCTTTGGGAATGTGTGTACAGGTTTAGGCTGCCAAGCTTCTGCCTCCTTCACTGATGAGGAAAGGAAAGCAAGATGGGAGGGCAGAATCAGCTGTTGTTTGGGTGTGTGGAGGCAAGCTGGCTCGCTCCTCAGAATGGCGTCTTAACAACTCAGAAAGAAAAATTATGCAGAAGGAATCTGTTCCTTTTAATTTCCCTTGGTATTGGAAATATGTAGCCTTCTTGCTCTTTTTTTTTCCCCTTTCCTTTTATTTTTTTAAATTTTTTTAAAAAATTAAAAAAATTTTTTTAAAGATTTTATTTATTTATTTGACAGAGAGAGAGAGAGAGAGACAGCGAGAGCAGGAACACAAGCAGGGGGAGTGGAAGAGGGAGAAGCAGGCTTCCCGCGGAGCAGGGAGCCCGATGTGGGGCTCCATCGCAGGATGTGGGGCTCGATCCCAGGACCCCAGGATCATGACCTGAGCGGAACCAGACGCTTAATGACTGAGCCACTGAGGCACCCCCCTTTTTTTTCCCTTTTAAATGATACTCTTATTTTGAATGTCTACTGGAGACTTTCGACATACTGGAATTTGGTTGCCCAGAGCGTTAGAGGTGGGGCAGCTAGGAGGACAAATGGGTGAGTGAGTGTAGGACGACAGGAAGAGTTTGGAGATGAGGCTCTCCCTTGTTAGGGAGTGACTCTGATTAGACCAAAAAGGTTGCTTGGAATTCTTTGTCCCAGTTATCTTGTTATATATCAGATCTGGTTACACATACTCAGGTTCCCAGCCCATGATAAGAGAGGGGCTGGAAGATAGAACAGGACTTTTTTCCCCTGAAGACACTCAAAGGAAACAATGTAATTATGAAATCTGGTGCCCTCGCTGGCGCTCATTGCCTATTTTACATTTTCTTAGTTTTTCAGAGGAAACGGAGTCCCAGAGATTTAGGAGACTTGACTAATATTATGGATTTCCCAGAAATAAGATGAGAATACAGATCTCTGACTCCTGACTCAGTGCTCTGCCTCCATGATGTCCGCGTATAAAATCTCTGTGGAAAGAGTGGAGCACATGGTCCCGAAAAATGAAATACCTTTGGGGAACTCTTGGAGATCCTGAACCCAAAGATTGGAAGAGTATATCAAGTGAGTATATAAAGTGACCCTTTCTTATTGTCTTCCCTAACAATACCCATAACAAAAATTTTACTCAACCAAGAAAAGCTCCAAGCATTAGTATAATGACAAGTTATTATTGCTCTTGAAGAGCAAAATACTTGTAAACAAAGCTCCAGAAAGAAATGATGAGCAGTGTGCAAAGGGACATCAGTGTGAGGGGTCCCTTTCTTTCTGCCTTTGCCACAACTCCAGGGTAGGGTGTGCCACCTCAACCAAGCCGTGCGGTTGCATTTATCATATTGACCTAGCTTAACCCTCTTGAGTACTGCCTCGTTCTCACTCAATTGAGAATTGAGTAGTTAGTTCTCCATTGCAAATAAAGCCCACATTCCTTATCCTGATATTCAAGGCCTTGTATGATCTATCCCAGAATCTGCCTCTCCAGTCTTATTTCCCACTATGTCCCTGTCTCTTTGATTAGCCTGTAGGGGCTCCTTCCAATTCCCACAACAAACATTATGCTTTCCTGCCCCAGGACTTTGCACAGTTTCTGGCCCTCTCCCTTCACCTACCCGTTTTCTCAACACTCAGGTTAGATACCACTCTCTTCTAGTTGAAAGAGAGGCTTTCCTGGCAGCATTTCATTTGAACCATTTATTTGGCACTTACTGTATTCTTCTGTAGGTTTGTAGATAATTCCAATAGTTCCAAAACTGGTTTACAAAGTCTCCAGCCCTCAGAATCACCCTTCTTTTTGGCAGGTTGTACAATGTGGTGAACTAGAGTGATCTGACTCAACTTCAACTCCTCACTCCTTATCTGGTCTTCCAATTTAAGTTCCAGAACACAGACTTTACCTTTTCCTCTAGGTCCAGGCTTTGATTGCTTGCTCACACACTCTCCCTTATTTCTTGAATCTTGCTCACCCTTTTGGCTTATTCTCAAAATATAACCAAGTCTCTCCTCCCTAAAAACAAAATAAAACAAACAAACTTCCCCTTTTACCCTGTTTTTCTTTAAGTCAAAGTACCTTTTTCCTTCTCTTTTCTTTCTTTTTTTTTTTAAAGATTTGATTTATTTATTTGACAGAGAGAGACACAGCGAAAGAGGGAACACAAGCAGAGGGAGTGGGAGAGGGAGAAGCGGGCTTCCCACGGAGCAGGGAGCCCAATGCGGGGCTCGGTGCCGGGCTCGGTGTGGGGCTTGATCCCAGGACCCTGGGATCATGACCTGAGCAGAAGGCAGATGCTTAATGACTGAGCCACTCAGGCACCCCTCCTTCTCTTTTCTTGATATATACTTCTGTTGTTGCAGTCTGAGCTGAGGGTCTGCCCTCTGCTGAAACTTGCATCTGGAAGATTAACAAAAATTCAAAATGTCAAATTCCCTTTTCTTCTACTTCAACACCTCTCTTCCATGGACTTTTTTTTAATACCATTTCACAAAAAGTATAATTACCACTTGAATATATATCAGTGTAATTTACCTTCTTTCTGAATATTGTATTTGCTCCGCTTTCCTACCTTTGCCATATTTGTAAACTGGGCAATTTTTCCAAATTGTAACATTTCTTAAGGAGAAGGGACCACAAACTCTGGAAAAAGACCTTGGTGTCACCTTTACTACCTGTGCCTGATGATGGTGTCCTGAGATTGAGTGCTTCCTTGAGGAATAGACGACACTATGGTGAGTCTGAGGCCTCGGTTTTTCTTGTAATCTGTGTCCAGAGTGCTGGGGTGTGGTGTCCTCTTTACCACCCTAACTTTATATTTACTACAAATATACTAAGTACCCTAATTATTAAGGTGTTACCCGTGAGACTTTAGGTGTTTCCACTTTTCCAATATCTGGGTCAATTAACAATCTCCCATTTCAAAAAAACAGTTTTTGTTTTTGTTTTTTTTCTTTGAATCTTCCCACTGGTCTAGAGATAACAAGTCCTGGAGGGATACTTCCTCTTCGAATCCCCACCCCCACACCTTTTTGCTGTTCCCTCCCCTAGGCACTGGCCTGTTTGATGACTCTAATCCCAGCATAATGCTTCCCTTGGAATGCGGAGACTTTGCATCCTAGCTAAGGAACTGGTAGGTGGACTTTACCCTCCAGGACCCACACCTAGCTTCGGAAGGGGGTTGAGCGAAATGCCTTTGAAAAGGCATTGAGCGCCAGCGAGGGCACCAGACTGTTGGCTGCATTTAAGATTCCTCTTCAACCCTAAATAGGTACACAATAAATATTTGTTGAGAACAGTATCCAGTGCCCAGCAACGTAAACTAATCTCCTTTTTACATATCTCAACGGTTAAAATCGAGGAAGCCAACTTTAATGCTGTTTAACCACAGCTAGCGTTTAGCAGGTGCCTATAGTTTGCTGAGCACCCCTGACCTGACTTTACTCTTCTGTGGCCTGGGATCAATTCCTCCATCTCTTGAAAGGCTAAACTCTAAAGTGGATTCACAATCTGGGTTGAGTCCCCTTTTGTTTAGAGTGAGGGTCATTCCTATTCATTGTAAACTTACATTGACTTTTACCCAATTCCCATTCATTCAACAAATTAAGCGCCTAATGTGTGCCAGTCCCTGTAGCAGGCGTTTGGGATAGCAGCGAACAAAACAAGAGATCCTTTCCCCGGTGGAGCTTAACGTTGGACGAGAGACAAACGATGAATATGATTCAAAAAACTGAACTATGTAATTTGGAAAATGATAAAATACTACAGAGAAAAAGGTACCAGGCTGGAAAATGATTTGTGGAGGCCAGAAGATAGGGGCTGCGGCTCTGGCTGGGGAGAAGCGACACGAACTGAAGTCGCGGAGCTCTGGCGTTTTGAGGACCAGGGAGATACCCTCTACAAAAGGACATCAGAGCAATCTGATTTATGTGTAGAGAGGTGAAGGGCAGAAAGCGGTCTAGACAGAGATTCCCGTCGAGAACCGCGGAGACAGAGGGCTGCTTTCCAGCAAGGGCGAGAAGATGCCCTAGCGGGCATCTCCTGGGCCCGGGCGGGGGCGGCCACACACCGCCAACCATTACGCCCCCAAAATGGCCTCCGGTTGCCCCTTGCCGCCCCGCCCGCAGCGCTCCACCGCCCGCCGGCCCACGTGACCCAGCCCCGCCACCCCGGCCGGCGACCCCCGGTCCAATTCTCTGCGGCGAATGGCCCCGCCCCTCGAGGGAAACGGACCAACCAGAGGAAGGGTAAGGCGGGGCGGGTGGTGACGGCCAATGGGGGTGGAGCTCCGGAGGGGAGTAACAGGTTGGTGGTGGGGGAGGGAGCGCGGAGGGACGGAGGGGGAGGGCCCGGGAGCGGCGGGTGCAGCTCTGCCGGAGCGCGAGCCCCGAGCCCGGGAGCGCCGAGCCCGAGCCCGGGAGCGCCGAGCCCGGCTGGGGTGAGTGAATGCGGAGGGGGAAGAGCACCTGAAAGGCAAGCGGGCCTCAGGGGCAAGGGGCGAGGCGAACCGAGATACCCTCCTCCGGGGTACAGGTGCTGCATTGGAGAGGGGAGGAGGGGAGGTGAAGCTAGGGTGGGAGTACTGATTAAGAGCTGGCTCCTACTCTAAGGTACCAGAGGCAGGTGCCTGGGAACGTGCCAGGTGAGTCTCAGGACGTGAAAGCATTTCAGGGCCAGGTTATCTCGAGGTCAGACGCCGGTCTCAGGGGCAGAATTTCTCTTGGAGACCGAGGTGTTAGGGGGAAGTAGTTCGTCTCAGTTGGACAAGGGGTTCAGAGACGTAAGGGGAAGGCATCCAGAGGTGCTGTTTCCCTGAGGTTTTCCCCCTGGCTGCCGTCCTGAGCTGGCGCTGACACCTTCTTTCCGGCTTTGAGATGTCTCTGAGGTGTGGAATCTTGCTCTAACTCTTCACCTACAGGTGAAGACACTGAGGGGCAGAACAAGAAGGCACCCCCATCTCTGCTAGGTGTGAAACTACTTAAGCCTTCAGTTTCTGTCGCCTTTGCTTTTATGCCTGGGAGAATTTTTCCTTCTTCCTCTTCAGAGAGTGCTCTTCAAGAGAGGGATAGGAGGAAGCGTAGATCCCTAGGCCTACAAAATATGTAGAAATACTTTTTAATGAGGCCTCTGACTGGGGCTAATGTCAAACCCTCTCCCCAAGCACACGTACTTTCTTCTGTGGTTCTAGATGGAGTCATTGGATGCGGTTTGGGAGCCTAACCAATTTCCTTGATGCCTCCCAGAAGATCCCCATTACTCCTTGAAACCCCACAAGGCATCCCTGACTCTGGGACCATGATGGCTGTCAGACTGGCAGGAGGCACCAGTGGTGTGGGAAATAGGCAGGACTCCTTAGGAGACCACAAGACTAGGGGAATTGGCACCTCTCGGTCTCCAGGCCGGATGAGAGCTGCGCATTGGGGCCCAGACAGACTTCTGAGGCAGATTTCCTTGCCTTGGGCAGGTAAGGGAACCAGAGCCAGTCTTAGCTTGGCCCCTTTGATGCCCTGCCTGAGGAAAGTTGTTGTAATTGGGAAATAATTAGCAACCGCTATGTTGTTCATAGGCTGCCTACGGGTGCCTCTGCACCTCTTCTTTCCTTGATATTTGGGAGTGGGGGGCTGGCCCTAGGGGACTGCTAATCCAGAGATTTGCTTGACCCTAAGAGGATTCTGGCTTGCTAGAATCCTTTCTTCTTTCCCCAGGCTGACCTGCATGCTATCAGCCCTGTGGGAGGTGAGGAGAAGGTAGGGTTGCTTCTCTTCATGCGGCGGCCGAGGGGAGAACTAAGGCCCAGGGAGTTGGCCAAGGCAAGTGTGGGATGAGGAATGCAACTTGGGGAACTTGAGAGGGAGGGGTGGGGGATACAAAGTCTTCCTGTCACATACTGGCCTGTCACTCACCAGGTTCTTTGTGTATCTGTTCCTCCCTGTTCCCTCTCCACCTTCTATCTACTCCTTCAGAACTTTGGCTCTAGGCTGGACAGCCCTTGCCCATGGTTTTCCCCCTGCCTCCTTTGTGGTGTGGAGTTTCTCTGGTCTGCTTTATGAGCTGCCGGTGGAGTCTCCCTGGCCCTCCCCTTCCCCTTGCTTCTCAAACCAGTCCAGCCAGTTTGCAGGGCCCAGTTTGTCATTGTGTTTTTTCCTCCACTGGCCAAGGTGCTCTAGCGTGGCTCTCGGGTTTCTGTTTTTTTCAGTGGATGGGCCGGAAGTCCACTTGGAGTGGTTCTTTTTGATCTATGGGGAACCTTCTTGTCTTTGTTAACTCTTTCTGAGAAAATAACCAATTGATCAAGGTCTCTGAGGTGTCCTTTTCTATTTTGACCATTTACTTCCCTTGTTACCTCTGAGGGGAGTCTAATCTCTATACCTCTCATTCTTCCATTTTCTAAATCTGCCAATTACGTAGCATCTAGCATGTTGCCTGGCCCTGTATATATCAGTTCTTCCTCTGCACACCCCAAACCACCCCACCCCCACTTCCTGCCAGAAGTCCAGAGACTGTCACTCCTAGTTGGAAGCTAGATGCTTATGGCTGGGCCAGAGGTGACGGAATTGGGGCAGGGCAGGCTAATGAGTAACTCAGGGAGAAGTGGCTGTCTGGTACAGGTGCAGCATATCCTCCCTTTCCTTACAGGCAGGAATGGCAGAGGCAGACAGATGAAGTTGAATTAACTGTGGCCTGAGCTCTTCCCAGAGTACAGTTGGTGAGGAGTGCCCTGGGCACATGCCAGAGGAGGGAAAAGCAGGGCAGGCTGTGAGAGGGAAGCCTCTCTACTCCATGTTTCCTGGCACTGGATTGCTGTTTACCTGCCTCTGGGGCTTACGCAAGACCTTGGAGCTGCCTGGCTCCCCTGGCCACGCCCCAGTGTCCTCTGTAACTGAAGGCGGGTAGGTTTCGGGTTTTGCATGTTGAATCATTTAGAGCTCTGCTTTCTGACCCACTCCAAAGATCACTTCAACGCCCCTGGCCCCTGACCCACCTGTCCCCAGGACTAACTCCACACCACAAAGGAGGCAGGGGGAAAACCATGGGCAAGGGCTGTCCATTGAAGTTAGGGAGTCATTGGGACCTGGGGGGCACGTTCAGCACTGCCTCTGAACAACTTGGTGCGCTTGGGTGGGTGAGGGACTGCGCGCTCTGCTGGGCTAGTCTGGGAGCTCCTTGACCTGGATCTGGAATATCAGTAGATGTACTGACAGAGTAGAGCTGCATTATGAATAAATCATGTGACTTCTGAGAGCTGGCAGTCTAGGCACATCTGGTTCCAAAATTATGACTGAATGGGGCAGGGAGAGGTCTTGTTACTGGGGCAAATGAGAAATGGCTGTGAGGGGGTCATTGGGTAAATCTCCCCACTGCTGTGCGAGTCTGCCTTGGTTCAGGATACAACCTTTAGCAAGTATTTATTGATGCATACCATGTCACCAGGCCCTGGGGCCACCGTAGTCAGCTGAGAGCCATGTTCTTTGCCCTCCAGGAGTTTATAATCTAGTGGGGAAGACAGGAAACAAATCATCACTCTGATAAATATATAAAAATAAACAGGCAGGGTTGTCTGGCTGGCTCAGTCGGTACAGCATGTGACTCTTGATCTCGGGGTTGTAAATTTGAGCCCCACATTGGTGTAGAGATTACTTAAAAATAAAATCTTTAAGAAATAAAAAACTGAGGTAAATTCATTGAAGGACAACTGTAGAACATATAACATTGTTCTGATCTAGTTTGTGGGAGGAGGTGGTTGGGAAAGGCTCCGAGGAAGTGACATCCTTCTGTGAAGCACTTGAAGCCAGGAAGGTCCTTTTAGGAGGAACACATGTATGCAGGGTAACATTTGTTTTCAGCTTTGTGACAGGCATACATGCTGCTAGCTATGTTTCATGTTTTGTCATTTTCCCTCTTTTTTTTTTTTACGATTTCATTTATTTATTTATTTATTTATTTATTTATTTATTTATTTATTTTAAAGATTTTATGTATTTATTTGACAGATAGCACAAGCAGGCAGAGTGGCAGGCAGAGGGAGAGGGAGAAGCAGGCTTTCCGCCGAGCAGGGAGCTGGACGTGGGGCTCGATCCCAGGACCCTGGGATCATGACCTGAGCCGAAGGCAGCCGCTTAACCGAATAGCCACCCAGGCGCCCCTAAGATTTTATTTATTTGAGAGAAAGAGAAGGTGAGTGGGAGGGAGGGGGGAGAGAATCTGAAGCAGACACTGTGCGGAGCGCAGAGCCCAACGTGAGCCTCCATCCCAACGACCATGAGATCACAAAGGGAGCTGAATCCAGGAGTCAGACGCATAACTGACTGAGCCACCCACATGCCCTTATTTTCCCTCTTTTTATTAAAAAAAATAATGGAACCTAAGTAAATTACATGCAAGAATCTGAAGTGTAGAACATGATAAGATTTTTTACAGCTGTATACACGTAATTATTATTGTCTAATTCTCACAAGTATTACCTCATGAGGTATTATTATACTTATTTTACCAATGGGGAAACTGAGGCTCAGAAAAGTTGGGATTTGCTCAAGGTTATATACATCCAATGAAGAGCAGGGCTAAGTTCCTTTTTTACTGGATGAGGTTTGGAGAACCTTTGCCTTGTAGCTTCTTTCCTGGTCCCATCTCTTGAATTCTAACAAAGGACCCTGTCAACTAAATATCCTTTTGCTTGGAGTATCTGAGGTTGCTTAAAGTCCTCCCCAATGCTGGAATGGTGGGAGGACAGGGGTCCTTTAGTTCAGGGTGGGCTTGGAGCTGTCCATGAACCTCTTGAAATTCTGAGGTAAAAGTTTGGGTGGACTGTTTCTTGCGGGGGGGGGGTGCATTACTTTAATCATTCTCTCAGTGGAGTCTCAGAACCAAAAAGGAGAAGAACCATTGCCAATAAGGACTCCTCCCTCACTATTCCTTTCTCTGGAGGGGAAGGGCTGGGAATGCTGGGAATGTTCTTCCCACCAAGCCCTTTCTCACCTGCAGGTAGGCCACCCCTTCCCCTCTCACCCCCGTTTCCTGGGCTTCCTAGCTTGTCTACAGTCCTTGAAGGGGGCGTTGCCAAATTTCCTTGGCTGAGAGCTCCACTGGGAAATCGAGGTGTGTATGTTTGTGTGTCTGTGTGGCTCTTGATACACTCCTCCAGTTAAGTGCTAGGCTGTGGTTGAGATTAGTCGCAGGGCTGGGGAAGCTGGCGTTTTTATTTGCTTCGAGGAGAACCTGCCCTCCCCAGTGCCTGGAGCCAGAGCACACCTGGAATATATTCCATTTGCCGACTCTAATCTTGGGTTGATGTGGACTGAAGGAGTTGGCCTATGGGTAGTCCTGGCTCTGGCCCTCATGTGGGACAAATCTGCCTATCCTAGGGCCCTTTGGACTGACATTCTTAAATGTTACTGAAATCTTTTTTTGAATAAACAATACATCTACATGGTTCCAAATTTAAAAGGGACAATAGAAAGCTAGTTACTCTCCCATCTCTGTCCTTAGCCCCCAGGTCCTCCAGCCCAGAGGCATCACTGCTATCCTCCCAGAAATGGGATGGCATACCTTGGGGGGGGCGGTCTTCTGTATTTTAAATGAGCTCTGGGAGTAGAAGGCCCCTTTTCTCCATTGGGATAGAGGTATCTATAAGGTGGGGTTTGGGTTCTGCCTTCATTGGGGTTGGAGGAGGCACACCATGCTATAGGCATACGTGCGAAGATCAAGCAAAATCAAACTCTTGACAAAGCCAAGCTCCCTAGGACTGTATTAGAGGAAATGGATTCTTCTAAGTCGGTGGGTTTCAAAATCTGGAATCTGGACCAGCAGCATCAATATCTCCTGGAAATTTGTTAGAAATGCAAATTCAGACCTACTGAATCAGAAACTCTGGGGACAGGGTCCAATAGTCTGTGTTTTCATAGGCCCTTGTGGTACTTCTGCTCAGATAAAATATGAGAACCACTATTCTATGTAGAAGGAACGGCAAGGTAACAAGCCACACAAAAGCCAGACAGGTGGAGGTTTCTGGGTTTCTACTCCCAGTCTCTCAGCTTTAACTGTTTTCTTAATTTTCTAGGAACCCTCCCATTCATGGAGCAGGCATCCACCATGGCTGAGCCCCGGGGCCCTGTAGACCATGGAGTCCAGATTCGCTTCATTACAGAGCCAGTGGGTGATGCAGAGATGGGCACCCTACGTCGTGGTGGGCGACGTCCAGCTAAGGATGCAAGAGCCAATACCTATGGGGTCGCTGTGCGTGTGCAGGGCATCGCTGGACAGCCCTTTGTAGTGCTCAACAGTGGGGAGCAAGGTGGTGACTCCTTTGGAGTCCAGATCAAGGGGGCCAACAACAGAGGGGCTCCGGGAGCTCTGAGCTCTGACTCGGAATTCCCCGAGAATTCCTACTCTCGTGCCAAGGAATTTCCTGCCCGCTCACAGGGCAGCATGTCTGATGAGGAGCCTGGGGCCCACTGGAATGGAAGGCTACTCCGATCCCAGTCCCAGGCCTCACTGACAGGCCCTGCCCCTGTGAGTCCGACCACCAGGAGCACTAGCTTGCTGGAGCTGGTCCCCCAAGGAGCTTCCCCTGGGAGCACCATTGACACTGCTCCCCTATCTTCAGTGGACTCACTCATCAACAAGTTTGACAGCCACCATGGGGGGCAGGCCCGGGGCCGGACTGGCCGGCGCATGCGGACGCTGCCCCCTGAACAACGCAAGCGGAGCCAAAGCCTGGACAACCGGCTCCCACGGGATACCCTTGAGGAACGGGAGCGTCGGTCCCCCAACCACTGGACTCCTAGCACAAAGCATGACAGCCACATGGGCAGCTCCAAACAGTTGGCCCAGAGCCAGAGCCCTCTTGGTGGCTTTAGCCGTTCCCGTCAGACCCAGGACTGGGTCATTCAGAGTTTTGAGGAGCCACGGGGGAGAGCCCAGGACCCTGGCACGCTGCAGGTCAGACCCCATTCCTCTGTGGCTTCCAATCCCTGACCCACCAGCCCAGGGACCCCTTGCTGATTCAAATAATTTGAAAGGCAGAAGGTTTCTACTTTTGTTCTCCACTTTACTCATCTTTTTTTTTTTTTTTAAAGATTTTTATTTATTTATTTGAGAGAGCGAGAATGAGAGAGAGAGAGAGCACATGAGAGGGGGGAGGGTCGGAGGGAGAAGGAGACTCCTCGCTGAGCGGGGAGCCCGATGCGGGACTCGATCCCGGGACTCCAGGATCATGACCTGAGCCGAAGGCAGTTGTTTAACCGACTGAGCCACCCAGGCGCCCATCCACTTTACTCATCTTCTTAATAGATGATATTCACATGTACAAGATATTTCCATGGAAACTGAAATTAGTCTTCACAAGCATGAGAGTCCCTTGTTACTGCCTGGCCATGAACTGTGCCTCAGTCACTAGCATTTGCTAGGTCTGCAGCATGAGTAAGGCAGGCCTGGTAATACGAGCAACTTCCAGTGCTCTTGTCAAAACTCCCACCTTTGTCTCCTACTCAGCAGTGTAAGTAAGTGGGAGAGCAACTTCTTAAGCCTGTTGATTGACAAATTCTAATACATTAACTGTCAGTAGCAACAAATAACTTACCACAAAGCTCACAGTTAGTTGAGATCTGTCTGTCAAGGAGAATCTGGCTTGCAACAATAGTGAGAGGGGTACCCTGCTTGGACCTCTCCTGGGCCTGCTGCTCAAGTCAACGGTGTTGCCTCTTTTCCCCACGTGAGGCTTGTTCAGCATGCTTAGAGGGCCTCGTCTCCCACCTGCCGCTGCTGCGCCATCTGAACATCACCCGCACTGCTGGCTTCATCTTCCTGTTTCTCTGGGTTTATGTTTTGCAGTTCAAGTCAACTCCAGACCTTCTCCGAGACCAGCAGGAGACAGCCCCACCAGGCAGTGTGGACCATGTGAAGGCCATCATCTACAGCATCCTGAAGGAGGGGTGAGTGGGGGCCCTCCCAACGGCATAGTCACACACCTCCCCTCTTTTCCTTCTAGCTTCCTTCCCCGTCTTCCCTGCCCTTAGCTCTTCCTTCTCTCATGTCTGCTACCTCTTCCCTCCCTTAGCCTTTGCTTCTGTCCTTTTCATCCTCCAGAAGCTCAGAAAGCGAAACCTCTGTGAGGAGGAAGGTCAGTTTGGTGCTGGAACAGATGCAGCCTCTGGTGGTGAGTGGCCACCTCCTGGTGGGAGCAAGGGGGGCAGGGTTGGGCCTCTCGGGCCTGGGTCTGTGTGTGGACCTGTTCTTTCCCGCCCTTTCTCTGGCAGATGGCTTCTCCTGGGTCTGCTAAGGCCCTGGCTGGGCAGAGTGAGCTCACCCGAAAAGTGGAGGAGCTTCAGCAACAGCTGGATGAAGAGGTGAAGGTGAGGGGAGACTGGACGTGCAGGAGGCACACAGGACACGGGAGAAACCGTGGCCTGGGTTGCTCTTCCAAGCGATTGAATGAGCGCTCGTGTGTTCTGTGATACGAGAGACAAGCGTGTGTGCTGGTCCCACCAAGGACTTCTGGGGTTCCCTGGAGCTTAGGGAGAAGAGCACATTCATCAGAGCTCCGAGTACCTTCCATTCATTTCCTTTGGAAGTTCCCACCCTGGCTTTGCTGTTCACTGGCTGTGGATGCCTTGAGTAGCTTACTTACCTCAGTCCTTTTCACTGCAGTATGATGATGGCAATACCAGTAGCTGTCATTTATTGAGTGTACTTTATATATATATTTACGTATATTTATTAGAGAGCATGAGTGGGGGGAGGGGCAGAGAGAGGGGGAGAGGGACAAGCAGACTCCATGCTGAGTGCAGAGCCTGGATCCCAGGACCCCGAGATCATGACATGAGCCAAAGTCTGATGCTTAACCAATTGAGCCACCCAGGTGCCCCTATTGAGTATATTTCTTGTAATAGGTACCGTCCTGGGTAATACATAATATAGTGATCTGTAAAGTAGGTATTGTGGACCCTTTCATGATAAGAAAACTAAAGATCAGACAGGTTAAGTGACTTGCTCAAGGTACTAAGTTACAGAGAAGGAATTTAAAAATTCAGGTCAGCCTTATGTGGAAGTCTTATCTACTCCCTTTAAAAAAAAATATTGCGGGGCACCTGGGTGGCTCAGTTGGTTAAGTGTCAGATTCTTGATTTCAGCTTAGGTCCCATGATCTCACGGTCGTGGGATCGAGCCCCGTGTCAGGCTCCATGCTGGCCATGGAGCCTGCTTGGGATTCTCCCTCTGCCCTTTCCCCCACCCTTGCGTTCTCTCTCTTAAAAAAAAAAAAAAAAATTAAAAAAGTTTAAAAAATACTGCTCTCACTTCTCACAGTATTGCCTTGCGTGTAGTTGGTACTCAGTACTCAGTAAGTATTGGGTTGTAACTCCTTATTTCCTGGAAAGCAAAATAGTGTACTGGTTAAGTGGTCAGCTGTGGAGTCAAACTGAGTTCAAATCCTTTGTTGGCTGTGTAACTGACCTTGGGCATGTTCTTTATATGTTCTGAGCCACTGTTTCTGTAACTATAAAGTGGGGATAATAATTGTACTGTATTATTTATCTATGGCTGTGTAACACATTACCTCAAAACTTAGCAGTTTGAAACAATCATCTCCCGGTGTCTTGAGGACCCAGAGTCTGGAAGCAGCTTAGCTGGGTAGTTCTGGGTCTGTTATGTAAGAGTTTCCAGTCAAGGTATTGGCTGGGGCTATAGTCATTAGAAGATAGTGGGTGTTGGCTGGAGGCCTCCCTTCCTTGCTGTGTGGACCTCTTGGTGGGGCTGCTTGAATGTCTGCACAGTATGACAGCTACCTTCCCCCAGAGTGAACCATCCAAGAGAGAAGAAGGTAAGGAGGAAGCTGCAGTGCCTTTTTAGGACTAGTCGCAGAAGCTACACATCGCTTCTTCCTTTTTCTGTTTGTTGGAAGAGAGTCCTTAAGTCCAGCCCATACTCAAGGGGAGAAGCTTCCCCTTTTGAAAGGAATGTCAGAGAATTAGTGGACATACTTTAAACCATCACAAGTCCCAAGGCTTGTTAAGAGAATTAAATGCAGATAATAAACACAGGGTTCGTAGTAACAGTACCTGTCATTTAGTGAGGCACATTTGCATTACTCCTGGTCCTCCTGAGAGGCTTTGCGTACTGTCCACCTGCGTTACTCGCCCTACCTTTTCCAGAAGCGGCAGAAGCTAGAGCCATCCCGGGCTGGGCTGGAGCAGCAGCTGGAGGAGAAGATAGAAGAGTGCAGCCGACTGCAGCAGCTGCTGGAGAGGAAGAAGGGGGAGGCCCAGCAGAGCACCAAAGAGTGCGTGCAGTCGATGGTGCAAATGGGGCTACTTGGGGATGGAGGCCAGAGTTGGAGGTGCCACCTGGGTGGGAGAGATGGAGAGAAATCTCTAGAAGCTAGAAGGGGCAGACAGAGATAATTTAAATATAGGACCTCGGTAATGGTGATTATGCCTGAGTTGGGGTACCTGGATTTGCCTCTCTAGTTCAGGCTCTAAATCTGTAAAATAGGTTAATAATAGTACCTACCTCACAGAATGGTTCATTCAGCAGATGTTTTTGCAATGAATACTGTGTGGCAGGCACTGTTCTAGATTCCAGGCAGTGAACCATTCAGATGACGAGCACTGCTCTCCAGAAGCATAGTTTCTAGCGGTGGCAGGGGTGTGGGGGGAGACAGACAGTAAAGAGTGAACATAATAGGTAAGTAAATTTGTAGCATGTGAGAAGGTGGTAAGTAGAGTAGGTCAAAGAAGATTGAGGGCCAAGTGGTGGAGGAGCAGGTTCCAGTATTAAAGTGGTCAGGGGAGGCCTCATTTAGATTTGAACAAAGAAGGAGGTTTAAATGAATTAATATATGTGAAGTGTTTAAAAAACTGCTTGACACCTAGCACTTAATGATATTATCTATTATTAATTATTAGGCTCCAGAACATGAAGCTTCTTGTGGATCAGGGTGAAAGGGCACGACATGGACTGGAGACCCAGGTGACGGAGCTGCAGGACAAGCTGAAACAGGCCCAGGGGCCGGAGTCTGCTAAGGAGGCACTAAGGAAGGTAGGGAGCAGGATGGCTCCCACAGCCTCTGCCGCCTTTCAGCTAGAGCACCCTCAAATCCGTTCACCTATAGTTTCCCCACAGTATGGGCAGTAGGTAGCTGATAATGGGTACCCCTTAGTGTGCTCTCAGACAGATTCAATGGTGGGGTGGGGGTTAGAGCCCAGAATGGTGGGCAGAGAGCACCTGGTACTGAGCCTGACAGGTACAAGGTGCTCAGTCAATATTTTTGATTGACTGAATGAATGAATAGGCAGGCAGATCCTAGTAGAGTCACCTCTGTACTTCCATCTTCATTTCCCCAGGACCTGTTAGAGACCCGGGAGCTTCTGGAAGAGGTCTTGGAGGGCAAACAGCGGATAGAGGAGCAGCTGAGACTGCGGGAACGGGAACTGACAGCCCTGAAGGGGGCCCTGAAGGAGGAGGTGGCCTCCCGTGACCAGGAGGTGGAAAACGTCCGGCAGCAGTACCAGCGAGACGCCGAGCAGCTTCGCCGGAGTATGCAGGACGCAACCCAGGCATGTGACCAAAGCGGGGGCTGCCAGAAGAGGGCACCCTCCCACCCCCAAGAAGGAGCTGCCTTGAGGTTTCTTGGTATTTGGGGACTGTCCTGGTCGTAACTGGAACTCCCTCTAAATGACACGTGAGATGTAATGAAAACCTTGGCCAGAAAACCTGTAAGGGCAGAGTGAGGGGATGCAGGCCAGGAGCACCATGAAGGTGTGTGACCAAAGTCCCATGGGGAAATAAATGGGGGAGGCTTCCTGTAAATGATAGCGGCGGCGGTGGGGGTGGTGAGCGCTGTGACTTGGGGAGAGCTTTTTGCTAGTATCGCACCGGGCACCACTGGGATCTCACAGTGTGTAGCTGGTGTGGTGTCCTGAGGGGTGGCCTGAGCCTCCCCTTCCACACACTTAGACTTTGGTCTGAAGTGCATTCTCCCTCTGAGCCTCCTGGCCCCCCAACTGTCTCCTTCCCTAGGACCATGCTGCATTAGAGGCAGAGAAGCAGAAGATGTCAACCCTGGTGCGGGAGCTGCAGAGGGAGCTGGAGGAGACCTCAGAGGAGACAGGGCATTGGCAGAGCATGTTCCAGAAGAACAAGGAGGAGCTTAGAGCCACCAAGCAGGAGTAAGGACTTTGCCTCTCTCCCAGGAATGCTTATCCATGTTTCCTATATCCTGCTTCTTTTCTACCCATGCTGTGCCCTTTACTCTGCTGAGAGTGGGTGCCCAGTCTGTTGGCTTCTGGGGAGGTGGTTTGCATTGTTCTGCTAACTTCTCCCAGGCAGGTGGCCTGACCTTGTTCCCTTTCCCTTTGCATTCACCTGGCTGGGCTCAGACTCCTGCAGCTGCGGATGGAGAAGGAGGAGATGGAAGAAGAGCTTGGGGAGAAGATGGAGGTCTTGCAAAGGGAATTAGGGCAGGCCCGAGCTGGTGCTGCAGACACTCGCCAAATGGAGGAGCTCAAGAAGGTACTTTGAGGGGCACCTGGCTGGCTCAGTCAGTGGAGCATGGGACCATTGATCTCAGGGTTGTGAGTTTGAGCCCCATACTGGGTATAGAGATTACTTAAAAAAAAAAAAAAAAAAGTACTTGCATTTGGGATGTGGAAGGGCAGGTTGGGGTGACGGCCACTGACCTCGCCTACCCATGAGGTTCCCTGTGTACTTGGTTTTCAGGACCCACCTTGCCTGCTCAGCCATCTCAACCCGCCCCCCAACACTCTTTGATGCAGTTGGGCTGCTCTTGAGTATACAGGTTTTTTTTTTTTTTTTTTTATTAATAATTTTTCCATTGTTATCTCTGTATTATAGGAACTTAGTTTTTGATGCAGTGTTCCATGATTCATTGTTTGTGCATAACACCCAGTGCTCCACACAGAATGTGCCCTCTTTAATACCCATCACCAGGCTAACCCATCCCCCCACCCCCCTCCCCTCTAGAACCCTCAGTTTGTTTTTCAGAGTCCATCGTCTCTAATGGTTCGTCTCCCCCCCCGACTTACTCCCCTTCATTCTTCCCCTCCTGCTCTCTTCTTCTTCTTTTTTTTCTTAACATATATTGCATTATTGAGTATACAGGTTTTTAACGGAAAGGACTCCCGGTTGGGTTCTAGCCAGAGGCTGCTGGCTGCCTCCCAAGAGACCTTAGGGGGAGTAGCATTTAGATGGATTTGTGAAACTCCAGGGTCATTTTTGCAAGCTTGGAATTTGGTCCACACAGGGAGAGTTGCTCTGTCAGGAGGGGGTGGGAGGGTGGGGAGTGGGGCAGGGTGATGGACTCATTAACTACATCTATTAAACAAACATTTACAGTTAGAATGCCAGTTTATTAACTTGTAATGTGAAGTGTCGTCACACAGACTGGAATATTTGCATCGGCATGGCCAGCTGACCTACTTGGGAAGCCAAATTGCCATTTGAAGGCTGCTTAGAGTATAGAATCTAGACGCAGGGATTTTATCATGCATGGATGTTTTATAAATGATAAGGTCATCAAATTGAAGCGAATACAAATATTTTTTCATATTCCTGGTATAGGTTTATGAAGGACAAGAAAGCAACTAATTATTTTGGATGATTTAGAAACTTCTATTTTTGTTAGTATAGGGAAGTGGCACTTACGGCCTCCTGAGGATCCTTCTAGGTTTATAGTTCTTTGATTCACTACACTGGATATGTAGTTGGTGCTCATTTAACAAGTATTAATGAATCAATGCCTGTTTATCATGCCTTTATCGTAAGACTGCCTAATTGTAATCAAGGTAATCATATTTATTAAACGAGTAAAGAAGTATAGCTCTAAGTGATGATTTTCCAGATAAATAAAAGTCTGAGCTTACACAAAATACTTGAAGAAAAATGTAATAAACGTTGACCAAACATACTTTTAGTGATTGTGAAATGAAAAGTGCTCTTAAATTTTTCTACGTTAATATGAAATTGACAAATATCAAGGATAGTTTGAAGTCTGTTTGCTATATTAGTCGACATAATAAACTTGGACATTCCTCTGGGCAATCTTGATGTATCATATGAGATAAAGCTAAAAAGTAATAACTAGTGCTTCATTTATCTCATATATGAAGTATATTTTATCAAGTACTCTCTCAAACAACATACACATTAGGAAAACAGACCCCATCCAGTGTAGACCACACGCTGTGCTGTTTTTTTCTTTGTAGTTAGTTTTGTTAGTGTCTTACATCAAAAACTCAAAATATATAACCTTTCAGCCTAATTATGGTACTTTCTGAATTTCAGAAGTAGCTGATAGCTAAAGAACTAGAACTAGAGCTCATATTTTAATTTTTTAAAAAATATTTTTATTTTTACACCCAATGTGGGGCTCAAACTCACAGCACCCAGATCAAGAGTCGCATGCCCTACCCATTGAGCCAGCCAGGTGCCCTAATACTTAAATGTTTTAAAAAAGAAATAAGAGCAGCGCCACTGTTTTGGTTTTCAACATATTTTCTTTTGTTTTTGATATAGCCAATCCTATTTTATCCACACCCTCACCTACTCTCACTTCATGTGATTTTTTTTTTTTAGTATATGTGCTGCCGAAGCGAGCACCATGTGATTTTTTTTTTTAATGGAGATTTATTTCACATACCATAGAATTCACCCTTTCAAAGTGTACGATTTAGTGTTTTGGGTTTTTTTTAAGATTTTATTTGTTTATTTGATAGAGAGCACAAGCAGGCAGAGTGGCAGGCAGAGGGAGAAGCAGGCTTCCCACTGAGCAGGGAGCCCGATGCAGGGCTCGATCCCAGGACCCTGGGATCATGACCCGAGCTGAAGGCAGACGCCTAACGACTGAGCCACCCGGGTGCCCCTCTATGGTTAACCGTTTGAGAAACTGTCAGACCCCTTGCCCAAGTAGCCACGGCATCTTTCATTCCCCCAGCAATGGATGAGAGTTCCGGTTGCTGTGCAGTCTGGTATCCCAGGCCGTGTCTGTGCCCTGTCACTGTCCACCTCCCTTTCAGGACCTGCGCCAGACACAGCAGGAACTTAAGGAACTGAGAGAAGAGCAGCAGAGCCAGGAGGTGGCTGCGCGCCACCGGGAGCGGGAGTTGGAGAAGCAGCTGAGGGTTGAGGCTGATCGAGGCCGGGGGTTGGAACAGCAGAACCTCCAGCTACAAAAGACCCTTCAGCAACTGAGACAGGACTGTGAAGAGGCTTCCAAGGCAAGGGGAGTGGGCACAGGGCTTAGGAGGTGGAGGCTGAGGGGTCTGGAGGGCATGGAAAATTCCCTACCATGGGTATGTACAGACCAGATCCTTGGTCCTAGGTGTGTGGTTAAAAGTAGGCAGGATTTGGCAAGGGGGAGGCAGGGCTGCACCTGGTGATAGCCACCATGTCCCTACGTCTCTGTAGGGGTGGGCTTCTCGGGGACACTAGCACTGTTGAAGTCTGTCTAGTTCTCGTGGGCTCTCTTGGGCGTGGCTTTCCTGGCGGAGGTCGGTGACCTGGAGCCCCGGGTCTGAGCTGCCCCTCCCTGGACTGGCCGCAGGCTCAGATGGCAGCAGAGGCAGAGGTGGCAGTGCTGGGGCAGCGGCGGGCAGCAGTGGAAACGACGCTTCGGGAGACCCAGGAGGAGAATGACGAGTTCCGACGGCGCATCCTGGGTCTGGAGCAGCAGCTGAAGGAGGCCCGAGGCCTGGCGGAAGGTGGGGAAGCGGCGGAGGCAAGGCTCCGGGACAGGGTGCAGCGGCTGGAGGTCAGTGCTTCTGCCCACACCGTTGGCTTCCCCCTGGCCCGCCCTCCTCTCATCTTGGCTAAATCCTCCCCAGCTAAATCCTCAGCCGCCTGTTTTATTTTGCCCCGAGTGTGCTTCCATTTGCCTTCCCAATCCACTGTTAAACTTGGGTTTATTTCCTGGAGCGTGCTTTGCTGTGGACATTTCGGCCCTTGCACTGCTATTGTTGTCTCTTATTCCCACCCTGGGCTTGTTCTCTGTGTCTTGATTTCTTCGCTGCTTCCTCTCAGCCTGTTTTCACTGCCCACCTTTTTCGTAAATCCCTCTTCTTGCGTCCCATCTATTCCCCTCCAAATGGCTTGTCTTCCCTCTCCCAGGCAGAGAAACAGCGGCTCGAGGAGGCCCTAAACGCGGCTCAGGAAGAGGAGGGGAGCCTGGCAGCTGCCAAGCGGGCACTGGAGGCCCGGCTGGAGGAGGCCCAGCGGGGGCTGGCCCGCTTGGGGCAGGAGCAACAAGCACTGAACCGGGCCTTAGAGGAGGAGGGGAAGCAGCGGGAGGCACTCCGGCGGGGCAAGGCTGAGCTGGAGGAGCAGAAGCGCTTGCTGGACAAGACTGTGTGCCAGCTCAACAAGGAGGTGGGACACGGGGTGGCCTGGGCTCTCAGGAAGAGGCCCAGCTCTTACGGAAGCTTGGTGGCGGGGGGTGGGGGGTGGTCAGAGTGTGTGATGTTTGCTTTCCTCAAGTTCGTTGCTGGGGAGGCCAAGGCCGAATCTTTACAGAGGGGTGTCCTTCCTCCTGCTCCTCAGTGTTCTTGTCCTCCCCCATACATCCCATTCCATGTGGTCTTGGTCCTTGGAGAATGTCTCCTGGGATTCTCCCTTAGATAGCTGTAAGACCTGAACATAAGAATCTTCATTAGTAGAATTTGCTGTTTGGGGTAAGGAAAGGAAAGTTCCATAATCCCTCCTTAGATGTCTTTAAGACCTAAACACAAGAATTTTTGTGGGTGGAATTTTATATTTGGGGGAGGGCAAGGAGAAAGGGAAAAAAGGAAATAAATTGCATTTGTTCAGATAAGGTTCCCCTCCTAATCTCTTACTTTATAAAGCTAGAGCAAACAAAAATATTTCATCAGTTCTAAAATGCACATTGCATCATCTCTGAAGTTGACTTGTGTCTTATAACTGATGGTTACAGTTCAGTTGACAGGTTTTTCTTTCTTAGTGGTACATCTTAACAATCATTGGCTTCTTGGGTTTGTTGAAATATGGTCATTTAAGGTTTACTTTGTATCAGACACTTTTATGGTTTACTTTGTATCAGACACTTTTATAAGTACTTCACATCATTAATGTAATTCTCACAACAACCTTGTGGTGGTAGGTACCATTATTTTCCCATTTTACAGGGAACTGAGACCCAGAGAGGGTAAGTAACTTGCCTGTGGTCACATAGCTAATAAGTGGTAGAGCCAGGATTTGAACCCAGGCAATCTGTATACCACTACTAGCCATACTAGGGACCTAGGCCCAGGGGAGAGCAGGGGAGGGCTGCTTCGGCCATAAGGAGAATCTGGGGCTCGGAGGAGGGACAGAGGTGTAGTGCTAAAAAGGGTCTTTTCTCTGCCTCTCAGCTGGAGCAGATTGGGAATGACTCTAAGCAGGCCCTGCAGCAGCTCCAGGCCCAGCTGGAGGATTACAAGGAGAAGGCCCGGCGGGAGGTGGCAGATGCCCAGCGCCAGGCCAAGGAGTGGGCCAGTGAGGCTGAGAAGAACTCAGGGGGGCTGAGCCGGCTTCAGGATGAGGTAGGAGGAGAAATGGCCCAATGTCCTTGGTTTTAAGGTCATTGCCTCTTTTTTCAAGATTTTATTTATTTCAGAGAGTATAAATAGAATCTTTAAAAGAAAATCTTCACACTGCGGTGTCAGTGGAAGTGTGGTATCAAAACAGGCGTGTCTGACACAGAGTAGGTGCTTTAAATATGATAGCTGGTTTTATTTTTATTTTTTAAAGATGATAGCTAGTTTTAATGCTTCACAATCTTTTACAGTAACAATTTGTAACAATTTTGTGTTTTTTGATTACATTAAACCCTTTTTGTTTTGTTTAAAAAAACCAAAAAAACCCAAAAAGTCTCAGTACCCAACCTGGATCCCGTATTACTTAAATCACAACCTCTGGGGCGGGGACCCAGGATCATTTGTCTAAAAACGACTTAAGTGATTCTAATTTGTGTAGGGCATTTTAAAACAATAAAGAAAATGGACTAAGAGCTCCTTTTTGCCTGCTAGATAGGACGCTGCCTGATTCCTGAATTGTTGAATAAAGCTAACTAGATCTTCAAAGAGAAGAAAATGGGACCAAAAGTCGACCTGCTTTTTATTACCACCATGCTCTGGCAATTCTAAAGAATGTCAGTGATGAAACATTTCTCCCCACAGGGGCAGACTGCTCCCATCCCTCAGCCCCCACCTTACTTCTCCAAGCTGTTGCATTTTTCCTTCTGCCCAGACCCAGAGGCTACGGCAGGCCTTGCAGGCATCTCAGGCTGACCGGGACACCGCCCGGCTGGACAAAGAGCTGCTGGCCCAGCGATTGCAGGGGCTGGAACAAGAGGCAGAGAACAAAAAGCGCTCCCAGGATGACAGGACACGGCAACTCAAGGGTCTTGAGGTGACGGCGTGGGGGTGGCGGGCGGGGGAGGGGTGTCCAGGTCCTGGCACAGGCGGGATTTCCGTGGGGGAAGGGAGTCAGGACATGCCAAGCCCCCTTTTTGTGCTAGGTATCAAAAGCTGGTAGACCACAACTGATGGGTTTTGTTTGAGTGCAGTGTTTTAAATGACTTTGAGTTAATTGCCAGTGTTTGAAATTTATACATGTCACTTATATATTCCGCTTTCTGGCTCCTTTTGTCCCTTTGGAAAATCTGGTAACACTGAGCCTCTGTCCTGAGTTGTCTGCAGGGCAGCAGTTGGCTGGAACTGAGCAGCAGCATCGCCCCTTCAGAGTGAACAGGGGTCTCCAGGTTGCTGTGTTTGGCAGTGACGATAATACCAGTGACAGTAGCAGCAAACACATGTTATGCCACATGCTGGGCACTGAAGGCTCATTGAGTCCTGAGAATAACCCTGTGGGGTAGGCTCTCCATTTTATAGATGAGGAAAACAGACACACAGAGAGGTTAAGCAACTTGGCCATGGCCCTTCTGCTAGGAAGTGGTAGATGATTATCAGACCCAGGCCGCGTGGCTCCAGAGCCCATACTCTTAGCCTCTATATGGGACTGCCTGGGTACTTCCTTGGTCTGAACCCTGGCACTTCGGTTTCTGACTCTCCATCCCAGCTTTGGCTCAGGCACTTTGGTTTCTGTGTTCCCATTAGGGAAATAGGGCTGCCCCACTGAAGAATTGATTCTGGGTTTGTCATCCTGCCAAGGGCCAAGACTAGAGCAGGCTCCACCACCCTCTCCCCTCAGTGCCACGCCTGGTCAGCAGAGGGTGCTAGCTCCATGGTGGCTCTGGGCAGGGGCAAAGACCAGCTGATTATGGGACATGGGAGACAGGAAGGCCTGTGGAGGCTGGGCTTTGGAAGGGTCCTGGTTGGGGTTTAGCATTCTGGTGTCCAGCATGTGGGGCAGAATGAACCTCTTGTTCCTCTGCCACAGGAAAAAGTCTCACGGCTGGAAGCGGAGTTAGATGAGGAGAGGAGCACTGTGGAGCTGCTGACAGAACGCATGAGTCGTGGCCGGGACCAGGTACCCCTTTCCTTACCCCTCGGCCCTCTCAAAAACACTTCCACCCTCCCATGTTTCATAATCTGGAGAATTCTGGCTGCTGAATCTGTGCATGGCTGGTGCTACTTCAGGGTCTCCTCTGCTTCAGGGCGGGTGGAAGGAAGCCAGGGATTTGAGTGGGAGAAGGAATCCTGGTGGCCTGGGATCCTCTCTGCCCTGAGTCCAGGCTGCTTCCATTCAGAAGGGATGCTAGTTCCTGGTGAGATGGAGGAGGCCCAGTTTAAATTCTGTGGCTCCTCCCATTTGAATAGGCTGTGATTTCTTAGTTGCCTGAGAATTGTGGGGATTCAGAGAGCAGCCTACACTTTACTCTGCTTCATGGTTCACCTGGCCAGTTCATTGTTAGCCCTCCCCAAATCTGGCTCCTCTCATCCACTAGGTAGACCAGCTGAGGACAGAGCTCATGCAGGAGAGGTCTGCTCGACAGGACCTGGAGTGTGACAAAATCTCCCTGGAGAGACAGGTGAGCAGGGGAGTAAGGAGTCTTGGGGATAGACCCCAGGAAGCAGGTAGAATGACCATAGGAGGGATCAGAACTGGAGTGTGACCACGAAGACTTTCTGTCCCTCTCAGAACAAGGACTTGAAGAGCCGGTTGGCCAGCTTAGAAGGCTTCCAGAAGCCCAGTGCCAGCCTCTCTCAGCTTGAATCCCAGAATTGGGAGTTGCAGGAGCGGCTGCAGGCTGAAGAGAGGTGATGTGAGCCCATCCTCCCTCTCTCCCTCTGGGCTTTTCTCTGTCTTGCATGTCAAACATGGCCAACCTGGCCTGATCTTTAGGGGGATCCTTTCTCTTGGTAAAGAGCAGAGGCAGTTGCAGAACTTCTGAAATGTGAATGACCTCTTATCTCCCCAGTTCTTTGGTTCTGCCCCTGGATCCTCCCTAGTGTGACGGGACTCAGAGGAGTTCATGGAGGCTGGAGGAGGCCAACTAGGGTTTCCTTTAGAAATGGCGACAGCCATAGACAACCCCCTACCATACCCTCCTAGGGAGAAGACCGTTCTGCAGTCCACCAACCGAAAACTGGAGCGGAAGGTTAAAGAGCTGTCCATCCAAATTGATGACGAGCGGCAGCATGTCAATGACCAGAAGGACCAGGTAAGGATGGTAGCCGGGGCCAAGCACCCATATGGTAGGCATATACCATATGTGTATTTGCTTAAAGGCCAAGGGAGGCCCCATCTCATAGGTCTTCCTAGCTTTGACTCTCCTTGTGTAAGGATGGAGACTAGACTGGAGGCACTGGATTAAGACAGTCATAGTAAGCACATGCATTGAGTGTGATGTGCTAGGTTCTCTTTCTCAGTGTTACACATGTATGAGGCTCATTTAATCCCCAAAACAAACCTGTGAAGTTAGGGAACTTGCCCATGGTCACGACATTTTTCTAGGGCAACAATCCCTTGTCAAAATTGCTACAGGGGAGGGTCCCAGCCCATGGTAGAAGCAGATACTTTTCTAATGTGGGGACTTGGTATCCTGCCCAGCTAAGCCTGAGGGTGAAGGCTTTGAAGCGGCAGGTGGATGAAGCAGAAGAGGAGATTGAGCGACTCGATGGCCTAAGGAAGAAGGCCCAGCGTGAGCTGGAAGAGCAGCATGAGGTCAATGAACAGCTCCAGGCCCGGATCAAAACCCTAGAGAAGGACTCCTGGTATGGGCTGCTTTTCTGTCCCCTGGCTCAATCAGGATAGTCATGTGGGAAGGGAATGGGTTCTCTGGAGCTGAATAGGGAGGAGGATCTCTAAGATGGGACTCTGCAGTCACTCCTTCCTGGCTGGAAGCCTGTATAGTTATTCTTTAGTATCTCAGCCCAGTGTCTATATATATCCCATCTCCTCAGATCTCAGGTTGGTGGGGGATCTTGTACCTTGAGGCCTTAGGACAACTGGGAGTGTCCTTGGCATGAAAAGCATGGTTGTCTCAATCTTTCTGTCTCCCTCCCTTACAAGTATTCCTCTCTCTCAGGCGCAAAGCCTCCCGCTCAGCTGCTGAGTCAACCCAGCATGAAGGGCTGAGCTCAGATGAGGAATTTGACAGTGTCTACGACCCTTCTTCCATCGCATCACTGCTTACGGAGAGCAACCTGCAAACCAGCTCCTGTTAGCTTGGGTCCACAAGGGACCAGAAACCACACTTGCTGCATGCCCTGGCAGGGCCTATTCTGCCCTGCCAAGCCTTGAATTCCTCATTCCTGGAAGGGGGGACCCAATTATTCAGCCCTAAGACCGGAGGGGTGTGAGTGATGGTGATAAAAAGGGCATCGGCACTAAGCTGGTAAACAGGCTTTCCCTTTCCTCTGGAGGAGTGGGTATTTTAGGCCAACTGAACCCTTCCTTATCCTCCCTCACAGCAATAGGATGGTCAGCATATAGGCTGAGGGGGATGGAGCAGGATAGGAAGGAATAAGACATTGCCACGTATATAAAGCTTTATTTCTTTAGCCCTTAATCCTCAGGCTCAGGGAAATACCTTAATGATTTTGCTCCCTTGACTCCTGCAGTGTGTTTTCCTCCCACTCTGGAGCAGGGTGAAGGGGACATTATGGGTAATGGACACACTGGGGTGGCTCTTGGATGCTCCTCTTTGCACAGTCATGGGACCCATATGTAGTCCCCACCCCTCTCCACTCCTATATATTTTGTCTTCCCCAAGCCGGGGGATCCAAGGGATCTGTTCTCCCCTTCCTAGCTTCACCACTCCTACCTTCCTTTCCTTTCAGTGCCTTAGGGTGAGAAGGTAAGGATGCTCTTCTTGCCTTCTCTACCTGCACATTCATACCTCTCCAAGGACCAGCCTTTCCCCAACCAGGGCCCTCAGCTTTCCCTGCTGCCCCAGTCTAGATAGAGAACTACTGGCTCCTCAGCTGATGAGCCCTTGGGGGATGGACTTTGCTAGGACCGTGATAAGGTGGTGGGGCTTGGCTCTGCTCAGGGTTTCCATCTTTCCTCCTCTCCTTCTGTGACTATGGATGTGTTTATAAGGGGGTTGCATCTGGGAATCCTGATAACTGTCTACACGAATTTGAAAAGCAAAGGTCTTCCTTGTGGCTTTTCTGACCCAGATGTGCCCAAGCTCAGTGGGGAACCAGGGGACCGTCATTATCTCAAGAGCTTGGACCTGACACACGGCTTCCTGCCTAGGGCTAAAGACTGACTCTTGGTAGAAATGGGAAGAGGCAATGGAAGATTTATTCCTCCTTTGGGTTTTGGGGAGAGTCAAGCCCTGGTAGGGAGGAGGTAAGGGAGATGATTTACCTTTTTTTTTTTTCTATCTCTCTTTATTTATAAAATCATACTTTGTTTTTAGTTTCATGTACAATGCCCACAGGTACCTTTCTTCCTTCTGATTTACCTTTCTTATTTCCTAAGCAGGCTCTGTAAGGAGCCTGAGGGAGGAAGAAGGCTGTTTTCACCAATGACTTGTAATTTCATGATTTTTTTCTTTTAAATCTTCTATTCTGCAAATTAGAGATTTTCTCCCAAACCAACCCAGCCTTGATTTTATTTTAAATTAAATATTAAAATTATATATCTATACTGAAACCTTGCCTTCCCATTCTTTTCCGTGGCTTATTTGGAGGTCTGTTTTATGAAGAAACCATTTTATTTATTTTTTTTTTAGATTTTATTATGTTATGTCACCATACAATACATCATTAGTTTTTGATGTGGTGATCCACGATCCATTGTTTTCGTATAACACCCAGTGCTCCATGCAGCACGTGCCCTCCTTAATACCCATCACCGGGCTAACGAATCCCCCTTCCCCCCTCCCCTCTAAAACCCTGTTTGTTTCTCAGAGTCCATAGTCTCCCATGGTTCATCTCTCCCTCCAATCCCCCCCCTTATTCTTCCCTTCCTTCTCCTAGTGTTCTCCATGCTATTCCTTATGTTGCACAAATAAGTGAAACCATATGATAATTGACTTTCTGCTTGACTTACTTCACTTAGCATAATCTCCTCCAGTCCCATCCATGTTGATGTAAAAGTTGGGTATTCATCCTTTCTGATGGCTGAGTAATATTCCATTGTATATATGGACCACATCTTCTTTATCCATTCATCTGTTGAAGGGCATCTCGGCTCTTTCCACAGTTTGGCTATTGTGGACATTGCTGCTATGAACATTGGGGTGCATATGGCCCTTTTCACTACATCTGTGTCTTTGGGGTAAATACCCACCCAGTAGTGCAATTGCTGGGTCATAGGGTAGCTCTATTTTTAAATTTTTGAGGAAACAACACAGTTTTTCAAAGTGGCTGTACCAACTTGCATCCCCACCAACAGTGTAAGAGGGTTCCCCTTTATGAAGAAACCATTTTAACTAGAGAACTTAGAGGCTAAAGCTGGGGTTTTCTTTGCCTCACTTTTTAGAGGCTCTTTACAGCCGATTAGATGGAACCTAGGGAACCAAGTGTTTATGGCACCTCCATTCTCTCCTAAACAACCTTCTGGGAATAGAAAGGCCAGTAAATGCTGTCTCTGAGGGTTAAAGGAGACAGAACTGGGTTTTACTCCCTTGGGGCACAGGGATATCCCCAGCATTCACCTCCCCTGTACAAAGACATTCATTCCCATCTGGAATGGGACCCAGTCCCTACCTGGGAGGTAGCAAAATTCCTGCTCTTGTGTTGCCTTGAAGAGGGAGCTAGCTGTTCATCAGAGCCTAATGCCAGATTCAGGGGCACTGCCCACTCAAGAGTGGGTCAGACCTCTTGCCTGCTTTCCATGTGGACACAGCCCAGTGGAGCAGCCAGCCTGTAGAGAAAAACCGGGCTGGGAGTGACTCTATCCATGGCCATTCTCTCCTGTGGGCCCTTAAGATGATAATCTGGGCTTGGGGAGCAGACGCCATTAGAGAAGTTGAGGCTCATCCTTTCTCAAGAATACAAAATCCTTTTAAGGCAACGTGTCCCGCCTCTCCCGACCATATAAGGGCAGCTTTGGTATAATTGCTTATACAAAACAAGCCCCACCCAGAGCCAAGCTGGTTTGACTTTGGCCTGGCCCTCCTGCCAGGGCAGGGCACCTGTCAGACTGGCTTAGGCCAGTTTAAGTGAGTTGGCCTCCGGTGCCTGCATTTCTACCATGCTGAGTTCCTCAAAGGTGACCTATATACAGGGAGAGGAGAATGTATGGAAGCTTTTTTCCAACTCATCCTCTAAGGGGCAGGCAGGGTGATTCTCTTTCACCAACACTGACCTTGGAGTTGAAAAGAGGGAACAGCAAGATTAACGAAGAATGTTTGAGACGCAACCACACGCTGGACAAAATTTCGGTTAAGCAGCCTCAGGTAGCCTCCGAGCCCCATTTTTATATAAGTCTGAGCGAGCGCAGATGGGCGTGTTCTGATGCTTCTCGGTCACGCCCATCCCTCTCTTTCGCTCACATTGGCGAACGGCATTCTTGGGGCATGTCCAATCAGCAGTCCCCGCCCCCGACGCGCCTATACAAGGGGGTGGTTCCGCGCGCGCCTGCCTAGTAGGCGCCGGACCGCGGGACGGACGGTGGGCTTCCGGGCTGCCACCCCTGCGCGAATAAGATGAACGGGACGCGGAACTGGTGTACCTTGGTGGACGTGCACCCGGAGGGGCAGACCGCGGTAAGAGAGAGCGGCCGCGCAGCCTCCCCCGCCCGGTATTCTCGGTTTGCAGTTACGTCCCTCCCGTGCCCTGCGCGGAGTTCGCTGACATCACCTGGGGCCGGCTTGGTGCCATCGGCTCCTCGCGGCGTTTCTCTTTCTCTTTTTCTACCTCCGCGTGGCTGGCAGTGGGGTCCTGGGGAGTTGCGGCAGGAAGGCTGTTTCGAGGCTTGGGGAGTCGGGGCATCCCTACCCTCTGGGAGGACACTGCGGCTCCTGCCCGGACCCCGCGCGAGTATCCGGTGCGCGCTACTAAGGCGTCCTGTGAACAGTAGATTGGGTCGCAGGAGAGATGAGCTCCTAGAACGGGATCTCTGCTCTCTTTGTACTTTGGGTCTCCGACGGGGGAGATTTAGGCTTTTCTGTGGGTCCTGGTGGTGTCAGAGGCCCTTCAAAGAACTTAATGGTGCTTTGGGTGGTCGGTAAGAAGACAAAGGGTAGAGAGTGAAATCCTAGGGCTTGGACCGAAGGGTGGGGGGCGGTAGGACTCCAGGTACACCGAGATTGGCCAGGAACTCCACTTTTCGCTGGGAGGAATGGGGCTGTCCGCTTGGGGGTCACCTCTCTGCTCGGATTTCTTCACCTTGCAGTTCTCCTGGCTCCCCTTCCCCCATGGGCCAACCGGTAGCTTCCTGGGACGGTTTGTTCACTTTGTTTCCGGGTCCAGCTACCAAACCCCGTGCAAGTGGATGAAGGAGATGCCAGAAACCAGGCTGGAAAGGGAAGGGAAGTGACCCACGCGAGAGCTTCCGGACCTAGTCAGGGTGGGGGAGAGAGGGGCGCTCTCCAGCGCTAACACATCTGCTCTGCTCCCCTCACTCCCTGGCTCCCTGTCCTTGTTCTCCTCCCCACCCCAGGTGACCATATGGTTTTTCTCCTCCAGAGGCAGAGGGAGGTAACTTGTGGCTGAATGTTTCTAGGCTTTGCTGGGGAACTTGACCCAGAATGGGTGTGTACTGTTTTCATCGATTTTCAAGCTATTGTGGGTGAGAGTGAAACGGGAGCCACGGTGATGGGGAGTTTGTATTCCTCCATTTCCCCTCCCTCCACTCTGTATCTGATTCCCTTCCTGGGTTCCAGTCTCAGCATGCCCCCTGGGGGAGCTAACCCAGCTGCACCCTGATTATGGCTCTTCAGAATAACTCAAAATAACTGGTAGAATAGTTTCTCCTTTCAAGTTTAGAGTACAGATGATCACTTAATTCTGTTCACAGTCCCCTCTCCGTGTCTGTCCAGTCTGAGTGTTTCTGCCCACATTACAGGTCTTGATACTGCCCAACCCACCACTCCCCCAGCAATGCAACTCTGAAGATAATAAAGAAACCCATCCTCTATTATGTCAGCCCCAACACTTACCGTGTGCTCTTACTCACTATTTTGGAATGGTTGAGACAGGGAAAAGAGTATGAGGAAAATAAAGGAGAGGGGTGTTGGGCTTCTTTTTGTTGGCTGTAAAAAAGAGATCCAGAAGGGTCTTAAGACCAATGTATTGGTACTGTTGAGAATGATTTGACACACTCTTCTGTCCCTTGATATTTTGTTGCCTCGTGGGGGAGAAAGAGTCAGTAGGAAAATAGTGAGCAAGGAATTCAGTCAGTATCCAGCCATGGATTAGTTTGAAGCTAATCAGAGATCTCTAGAACGAGGGGAGATAGAAATTCCCTTTATTCCTTCTTCCATAGACTGGACTTTAGAGGTATTTTACTTCAAACCTGTGAATGAAATAAGCATTGCTGGAATCTGTTCTTGGAGACATTCCTGAGCTGTTAAGGAGGGGGAGGAGGTGGTAAACAATCAATCAGGCGATAGACTTTGTCCCTGGATTCCTGTCCTCTGAGCCAGCCTGAAGATAGAATTTATGGCTCTGGACAGTCCCCAGGAAGCTGTAGTATATTCACACCATCGAGTGAGTGCTCAGTGCATGCTCAGAGTGAGTGAATGAATATGTAAATGAACAGATGTTTCTCCTTGGTGTAAGTAGTGTAGACAATTTAACTGACTAGTGTGTCCTAGTGGGAGTGAGGACCCTGGGACTCTGTTGGTGTTTCCCTGCTGGCCAGGCCGTGTGTGTTGGTGCATCACGCTTGGACGTGGAAATACGGCTAATACCTCTCTGGATTATTTTTATTGTTGGAGGCAGATGCAGCAGGTACGGTGAGCCAATGTTTTTCATACTGCAGATCATCACTACCAGTGGGTCTGAAGTCAACTTAGTGGGTTAGAACCCTAGCATTAGAAAAGAAATGGATTCCGATTATATGACATTCTGGACTAGGCAAAACTGTGGAGATAATAAAGAGATCAGTGGTTGCCAGGAATTTTGAGGGGAGAGGAATAGAGCACAGAGGATTTTCTTTTTGTCCTAACCCACAGAATGTACATTATTCACCTTACTTGAGTGAACCCTAAGGGAACCATGGGCTTTGGGTGATAATGATGTGTCAGTGTAGGTTCATTCCTGGTGACAAATGTGCTGTTTTGGTGAGTGAGATAGGTAATGGAGAAAGCTATGCCTGTGTGGGGATAGGGAGTATGAGAAATCTCTGTACCCTCCTGTCAATTTTGTTATAAATCTAAAACGGCTCTAAACAAAATAAAGTCTTCAAAACAAAAGAAATAGAATTAGCACTATCACAGTGTTAGGGTGGACATTATTAGCAAAAGTTTTGTTTCAGTTATATGTATGTATACATAAAATGTGTGTGTGTGTGTGTGTGCGCGCGCTTACTAGATCTTGAGGTAAAATTTTTTAGGTCAGAGGAGTTTGCAAGCCACTGTAGTAAGTTATAATGGCAAATAGAAGCATGAACAAACCTCAAACATTTTTATTAGACGTTCCCGTCAAGTTCCTTTGGTAATAAGCAGCAGAGAGGGACTCTAGCTAACTTAAGCAGAAGAGGAATTTATTAGAAGGAAACGGGCAGTCACAGAATGTAAGAGAAAGCTTAAAAAAAAAAAAGTGCAAACCAAGGCTGTTCGCATTGGCAGCACATGTACTAAAAGTGAACTGATAGGGAGAAGATTAGCCTGGTCCCTGTGCCAGGGTGCCATGCAAAGTTGTGAAGCGTTCTGTTTTTCAGTGGTATTATAATAGCAGTCAGTGGTGACAGCTGGTAGCTGCGTTGGTGGTGAACATAGCATAACTATAGACTTGTCACAGCACTGTGTGGCATACCTGAGACTAATGTAACATTGTGTCAGCTGTACTTCAATTAAAAAAAAGGGTGAACCAGGAGAGTCTGGGATCTGGCTAAGTGGAAGGAACTAATGGAGGGTTTCTACGTCTGGGTGAATTTGTTCCAGGTGTTTTTGCCATTCTGTTCAAGATTCCAAGGAGAGGGTGTCATTGGCCCCTCACCCACCTTGGCCAGGGCGATATGCGGTTCCTTGATGGATAGGCCCACCAGATTATCCTATAAAGAAGGGAGATTGTGCAAAGCAAAACCCAAGTGCTGTTACCGGTAGAGGAAGATGGAAGCTGTGTGGCAAAAGCAATAGAAGTTCACTAATTAGACTTTGGTTTGAATGATCTGTTTTTTTCTTTTAAAAATTTTTTTTTTTTTTAAATTAAGTAGGCTTGGTTGCCTGGGTGCCTCAGTCATTAGGCGTCTGCCTTCAGCTCAGGTCATGATCCCAGGGTCCTGGGATCAAGTCCCACATCAGGCTCCCTGCTCAGTGTGGAGCCTGCTTCTCCCTCTCCCACTCCCCCTGCTTGTGTTCCTGCTCTCGCTCTCTCTCTCTGTCTGTCAAATAAATAAATAAAACCTTAAAAAAAAAATTAAGTAGGCTCCATACCCAATGTGGGCTTGAACTCACGACCCTGAGATCAAGAGTTGCATGTTCCACTGACTGAGCCAGCCGACTGAGCCAGCCAGGCACCAGGCACTCCTCTTCCTTCCTTCCTTCCTTCTTCCTTCCTTCGGCACTTCTTTCTTTCAGATTTTATTTATTTATTTATTTATTTATTTATTTATTTATTTATTTATTGAGAGCACAAGTGGAGGCAAAGGGGCAGAGAGAATCTCAAGCAGACTCCGCGCTCAATGCAGAGCCCGACTTGGGACTCGCTCCCAGGACCCTGAGATCATGACCTGAGCCTAAGTCAGATGACTGCACCACCCAGGTGCCTCTTTCCTTCCTTCCTTCCTTCCTTCCTTCCTTCCTTCCTTCCTTCCTTTTCTTCCTTCCTTCTCTCTCGCTCTTTCAAGATTTTATTTATTTTTAAAGATTTTATTTATTTATTTGAGAGAGAGAGAAACAGCACGAGAGGGGAGAGGGTCAGAGGGAGAAGCAGGCTCCCCGCCGAGCCGGGAGCCCGATGTGGGACTCGATCCCAGGACTCCGGGATCATGACCTGAGCCGAAGGCAGTCGCTTAACCAACTGAGCCACCCAGGCGCCCTCAAGATTTTATTTATATGAAAGAGCATGCGCACGCACGGGAGCATGAGCAAGGGGGGGAGGGCAGAGGGAGAAGCTAACTCCATGCTGAGCTTGGGGCCCAATGTGGGGCTTGATTCCAGGACCCTGAGATCATGACCTGAGCCGAAGTCAGACGCATAATTGACTGAGCCACCCAGGCACCCCTCTTTTTTCTTTATAAATCATTTTTCAATCAAAGGAATATATGTGCCTGATTTTTAAAAGATTAATATTATCAAAAGGCTTTTTAAAAGAAACTAGCAAGCAGTTTCCTACCCCAAGCCCTGCCCCATGGGAGAGACCACTTTCAACTCTTAGCACTTTTGTCTGGTATTTACCCCCATATTTCTAAATAATATGCTTAGGGTGATACTTCTTGATTTATCAGTTTTAGACATCTGTTGACTTCCTGCTGTAGGAATTATAGGAAAGTTTATACTCCCACTCCTTATATATACTCTCTTTCCCTTCTCCCATCCTCCTAGTATATTTACATCACAATTTTTGGCTAAACTATGATTTCTGTTAATAACATTGTGGT